TCAAATTGTCACACAACTCTTGTAATTTAATAGGTTGGAGAATAAGGTTGCAAAGAGTGTATATGATTTTTTGTGCAGTTGAAATGATAAATGATAGTGATTTTCACTGGGTAATAATTGATTTATTTAACTATTCATATTACAACTGGAAGCCCAAAGTAGTACTTTCTTTCACAATTTCCCCACATCATCGATCATATCTGATGATATTTCCGAGACTAATGATTGAAAAGACTTTATCTTACTCTGATAAAATCCATAATTATTCCTCCATTTCTAACCAGATGGAGCTACCATATCTCTAGCATCAGCATTGTCTTACTTTTCTTACTCGACATTGACCTTTTTTATTTTGGTAATCGGCCCTGCCGGTTGTGATTCATGTCAAAAAAAACTTTTGAAACAAAACATAAACCTCTGTAAACTTTACATTTTTGTTAAAATTGGAGGTACACTGCACTAGCAGTACAGTTGAAGCTCTAAGAAACGCTTACAGAAAGGCGAGTACTTCAAATGATCACCGATCACTTGAGATAGCAATGACACGATAAAAGTATACCATCCAATTCTTTTGTACTCTTCGACAGGCCACTTGCATCCTTCAAAAATAACATCATCTTCATCGATCGCCCAGACAATCACGAGACAAGACTCGAACAATCTTTTGCATTCTGAAAATAACTTCCTTGTACACATTACACAATAATTTCAAGGATTTGCCGCTTCCATCTTCGTTACAGAAGTAAAAATGAGAAGACAGGTTGTCTCAAATACTCGAACCATTGTTTTTTCCGAAGAATTTTACTGCTTCTTTTCTTTCGTGATTCTCGAGCGGGAAACCGACGCAGGCACATACCAGCGGTTTCTCGTATCAAACTAAAATTTACCGGACAAAATGCCCCTCTGCTGCTATTCATTATTTCGGGACTAATTAAGAAGTAACGATAATCATTATTTCGGTCTCGAGATCATGCTGGGGGACTGGGACGTGGGGACTGGGACGTGGGAACTGGGA